ATGAAGGCCCTTGAGATGAGGCAATCCACCAATGAAACAGTTTCACCTCTACAGCAAGGAATACGGTGTGTGTGTGTGTGTGTGTGTGTGTGTGCATATGCGTGTGCGTGTGCGTGTGCGTGTGTGTGTGTGTGTGTGCGTGTGTGTGTGTTATAAGCTTCCCCCACAACAACCCCTATTCCAACCAGATGAGTAGAACCGGACTGAGTCCGTGTGTGTGTGTGTGTGTGTGTGTCATGAGTAGATGCAAAAGTGCAGCAGCTAATTCTATTGCGGAAAATGAAGGCCCTTGAGATGAGGCAATCCACCAATGAAACAGTTTCACCTCTACAGCAAGGAATATGGTGTGTGTGTGTGTGTCTGTGTGCGTGTGCGTGAGTGTGTGTGTGTGTGTGTGTGTGTGTGTGTGTGTGTGTGTGTGTGTGTGTGATGGGTAGATGCAAAATTGAAGCAGCTAATTCTATTGCGGAAAATGAAGGCCCTTGAGATGAGGCAATCCACCAATGAAACAGTTTCACCTCTACAGCAAGGAATATGGAGTATACTGCAAGCGTCTAAGTCCTTTTCTTAATTGTGTTCACTTTTGCTTTCTTCGGGGTACACCTTTCCTTTGGGTCTTGCAGCTCCCCTTTACTGTGCCTCTCATGTACATGTAATACCCCGCTCGATATGCCCCCGCAGACCGCGCCCCCGGTCTGAGGCCACAAAGACCAAGGGGAGAAAACCCCCGAATTGGCCTCAGGGCCTGCAAGTCCCACGGTTGACTTCGGCCAACTGCCCAGCGGCTCAAATGACTGCATGAACACAGCCCAGGCCACCTGTCAGACACACACACTTGTTTGTATGCAGGCACCAAGACAGCATTCGGACCAAGTGGAAGTCTGCAACCGTATACGATTCAGGCCCTCGGCTGCGAGTCAATCTGAGCCACCGTGGGTGGGAGACCTCAGGCCGGTCAACCTTGTCAAACACTACATAAGGCCCGGCCTCCAGGGAATCGACATTCAGTCTTGCCATGCTGACTTGACGCTCGCTTGACACTGGCTGGACGCTGGCACTGTGGACGACGACGCGAGACCTCTGCTTGCTTCCTGGCGCCTGCAAGCCTCTGCTGACGTGGTGCAAGCCACGCTATACTCGATATTGCTCATGTGGCGCATACCACTGTCTTCATTGCTGACTTGGCATTTGCCACACTGTCTTCATTGTTGAGTTGGACTCGGCAAGGAGGGAGATCGGGATCTGTGCATGATTGAGAGAGAGACGGGATGCTTACCTGCTGATCATGTCGATACTGTGCGCTGCTGGACGCCTTCACAGGGGAACTGTGCCACGTGGCACTCTGATGTGATCAGGACCTGTCAGCCTCGTTATTGGACAGCATTTGCTGACGTGGAGGCGAGGGGAAGCCCGGAGAAGGAGGGGAATGTTGGGCTACTATCTATGTGGTCATTGGTGGATACTATCTCGTCCATTGGATACGAGACATTGGATCAGAGATCACATTCATGATTATTGGAGACATTGTTCAGCGTTGAGTTACCTTGTATTTCGTTGAGTTACCTTGTATTTCGTTGAGTTACCTTGTATTTCGTTGAGTTACCTTGTATTTCGACCTCTGACGAGTATCCTGCAGACTGGGTTCATTACATACAAGGCTCGCCATGTTAATTGTGGTTGAGCACGAGCTGCCCACATCCCCGTGTGCCACAACGGCCCACTTGCACACTATGAAAGAAGGCAGAGTAAAGGCGGAGGTATTTTCCTGTTCATTTTTCCTCAGATTTCCTCAGATCTCCAGCCTGTGTTTTGTCTGTTCTCTTAATGATGCTTTTACTAATGGTCCACGGGAAGAGGGAGGAAGGATGTCTGTGTGTGTGTGTGGCAAGTGCAGCGCCAGAAAACATGTCACACTCACGCACCACATTCATGCCTGCACACACCCTATACAAACACGTATGCACACAAACACAGTGGGGCAAGGGACATGGTGCTGGCAGTCTCTTCACCACAGCAAGGGAGGATGGCAGCAGTGGTGCACTTGAAATGGCTGCCGGTACAGTATAGGCCAGTGGTGCACTTGAAATGGCTGCCGGTACCGTATAGTATGCGTACCTGTAGGGCAGCAGTGGGGCCTACTCATACTTTTGGAGGGCAGCAGCAGTGGGACCCGCCAGTACCAGTAGGCCAATTCTGCGCCCATCTGGACCATTGCCCATCTGGACCATTGGGCCAGAGGTACTAGGGCAACGGCATGAACCCACGCACGATCTTAAGATCTTAAGATTTCCCGTCAATCCAGGCTGTTGGCACGGGTGGGCCTGACAGCACAGATCAAGAGTTTGTAACATGGATGCAACACATAATCTGAGCCGTTGGTAGGACCAAACGGTCCGGATCATGGATTTGTCACATTAGCAATTCCATTCGAATACAGAACCTGAAATAAGAGTCAAAGATGGTAAAGTAATGGTGATACAACATAGCAGTACAGAAAGAAAAAGAACTGTAATAAGAGGATATTAAAAGGAGGGAGAGAAGCTGGACAGGGCAGGATAAGACACCAACCTGGACTTGGCTGTATGGATAGGTGTAACCTGGATTATTTGAAATTCCATACCCTAACGGTACAGTTGCAAATACTCCTGGCTGTCCTGCCTGAGCAGCAGATGCAGCCAATTTCTGTGCCTTCCTTGCAAGCTTCTCCTTTTCGGTATCTGCCCATTTCACAACGAGTGCTGAATTTCCTCCCTGCATAACCCACACAGTGAGCACACAGCAGTGAGCTCATCATATGATTAAAGATAACCATCCATCAGTGATTTCCATCATCAAATAAATGACTCTGCAGGGTTTCAAACAGCTGCCACTAAGATGAACTTTATATGATAACCATCCATCAGTGATTTCCATCGTCAAATAAATGACTCTGCAGGGTTTAAAACAGCTGCCACTAAGATGAACTTTATATGATTATACGTTAAGTGACACTCACACTATCGTCTTCAGCCAAACAGAACACCTGGTCATTATAGCTGTATTTAGGATAACTTTCAGTCCACATGCAGCGATAATGACCCGGCATTCTATTCGGCTGAAGAAAGGTAGCGGTTCAAGTCCAACGTGCCCACATGTGAGCGTGCCACCAAACAAAACCACTGGGTTCAAGCCTTTTCCTTTTCTCACATGCGAGAGGAGGGAGAATCAGTGGGGCTCCGACTACTGGGGTTTTGCTAGTATGAAAAGCCCAAAAGGGTACGAGGACGACAGCTGGGCAGCACAATTGCATAGAGAGGCATATTTTGTACATACGCAAGGCACTTATTTCGAACTCACCTTCCTTTGAAAAAAGCCGAGACAATATCCGAAGTTTCCAAACCTTCTACAATGGCATGTGGTTTTGACACACAGCAATGCACGGATAGCACTCGCTGCTTCTGTGGTGAACATGTAGAGGAACATATACTATTCACAGGGCACAGAAAGGGCACTTCAAGGTCATTGTGATGCCCCCTCCCGCAGCACACGCGCCACAAATATTCTACTGCACCGCACATGCAGTTCTTCCCCCCCACCACCACCACCCCCCCTCCCAAGAAAAACATATATATATTCTATATAGTTTTTGCCGCACCACACGTACAAATATTTTATCATGCCACGCATGCAAATATTTCAAGGTGAACGTGTTTTCGCTTTCATCCCTCATTTGCAGGATGACTGGATGATCACATTGCCCTCTGATGAAAGGGTTCAAGATAACGTTCATTTCATCACTAGGACTTGGTGCAATGACATGGCACTGCAGTATCGAGTCAGAAACACCCATAAACGCAGTAATCTGCAGCTTACCTCCATTTTGTGAATTCCATTCAATGCATTAATAGCCGCTTGTGCTGACTCCCTCATTTCATATTTCAGAAAGGCACAACCTGCCAAACACATAGCACATAGTCCACAAGAATGTTACACATTGCTGTTACTGGATAGCAAACATCACTCCAGATTTATTAAGAGAAAGTGAAGAAGGGCCCATGGCCACGAAAAACAGACCTGAAACCTCTATAGAGACTTCCAATCCGTTGGCTCTGGGCAGCACAAGCGCCTCCGCCCTTCCCCAAGCTGCAGTGTATGTTCTGGGACAGTGCCATTTGAGGTTTCTGCATGTTCTCCGAACAGGCAGGTGCCTGTTCGAACCAGCGGATAAGCCTGGTTAACAGTTGGCCATCTTTTGGCCTGCTGAGAGGTGGTGAGTAGCAGGACTTGATCGTTTCTTGTCTTTCATGTCCTGAGCCAGCCCTCATCTTCTAGTAGTAGGCCAGAGATATGATACATGCTCAGTCGAGCGATGTATGGGGAGCCAAGGATCCGCAAAGTGATGAAAAGCACTTGAATGGACAATGCAGTGTCAGCAAAGCATCAACAAGCAATGCACATCCTGATACATATGAAAATAGCATAATGTAGCACAATGGAAGACTCAAAGATATGCAGGTATGGCCTCCGCCTCACTCCCACCTACCCCTCTACCTCTATCTCCAGCCTAGTGCTGCTCCAGCAGCGTGTCGCCCAAGAAGTGAGCTACTCGAACTGTGTCTGCCCTGGCCTGGCCCAGCTATAAGTAGTGCTGGGTCTCGCAGGTGTTCCACCGTGTGCCTCTGGTCCTAGGCCTAGAAACGGCCTGCCTGAGTCCCTACCAGATGTCCAGGCCCTGCCTGTTGATGAAGCAGGGACGTCCGCTACTGGACGAACACGAACCTGGCCCTCCCTGCTGATGAAGCAGGGACGTCCGGTACTGGACGAACACAAACCTGGCCCACAAGGGCCTGCCTGCGAACGTAGAAGACCAAAAACGTGGCCTTTCTCCGAACAGACCGAAAGTCTGTCCGGACAAATTGCAAGTCCAAAACGACGCCAGAACAGACAAACATAGGATAGCAAATAAATAAATAAATGAATGCTTCCTCAAATCGAATCCTGCAGCCCTAAGGCCGGCCATGAGCCTCCAGGGCGCATGTCTGAAGGGCGTGCGGCCTGGGGCCTGCCAGCGACCATCGGGCCCCCAAAATGAGGCCCGTGTGCAGGCTCAGCACGTAACAGCTAGCTGCTGATGCAGCATTGTGGACCTGAAGGTCCCATAAGGGCCCAGACCACAGGTTCCTCTCCTGTGCCACTAGATCAGGATTTGGTCCTTTGCCCTGTGCCATCGGATAGGATTACAAGTGACTAGGGGACCTGTTGCGGCTACGCCCGCAATAATGAAGGGAGGTACAGTAGCAAAGCGTAGTAGCCCAGATTCGTGCTCTTTTCTTTATTCATTTCGACTGCTCTGTACGCAATCTGGGCTGACATGGTGTAATTGAGAGACCCTGGGGACACTTGTTGGGAGTCCCCATCAAGTATAAGAGACATTATTGTTAAGCAGATCCCTCCTCCCTTCCCCTTCCCCCCCATCCGTAGGCGATCCGGGCTGACATGGTGTAATTAAGAGAGCCTGGGAGCACTTGTAAGTCTCCATCAAGTATCTTTCTTATTATGTATGGTGAGCGTTAATTGAAATAAAATAGAAATGGGGACAGTTTATTTAAATAAACAGGCCTCTGGAGGACTACAGCGATAGATAGATCACTGTGGTCTGCTCGCTCTGGCCAGACCTTGTGCCATTGTTGTTAAGCAGATCTCTCCTCCCTTCCCCTCCCCCCC